CAGGACCCGCCGCCGGGGCCGTAACCACCGAGCAGGGCAGCTTGGGAACCCTCGCTCCCCGTTGCGTACAGGAGGATTTTGTCAAAGTGAGGCACAACAGGAGCGTAACCTTAAACACAAGCCTGAAAACGCCGGTACTGCCAGCGCCGGTCTGCAGGCAAATTCTTGCTCAAACGTTTTTTCCAAACCAGGGAACAAAAAGGGAGCCCCGTTTGTTTCCCCTTAGGTTGCTGGGTTTTCCTGGCTCCTCCCATACACAGCCGTCTTCGGAGCGTTCCTTACCCCGACCCTCCCATCAGCCCAGCTTCGTCCTTCCTCTCTTGCACTCGCCCCCAGGCTGCCTGGCTGCTTGCCGCGGGGCTGCTGCCGTACCCCGACCCGCCAGCCCCGGGGGGCGGCGAGGGCACTTTGTAACCCTCTCTCCCACCCCACGCATCCCTCTTTCTTGTTAACGCAGCAAGAGAAAAAAGAACCCAAGAAGACAGGCATTGTGCCTTCAAACGCCAGGTGAGCGGAAAAGCTGCATCTCGCCTGTTTTCTCAGCGTGCCCGCCTGTCGGCCGAGCGGCCTTGACTCCACCGCTACCCTTGTCAGAGGCACAGGCACCCTGGTTCCCTGGTGCCTGCTGCACGGGGACCGGCCTGTCACCTCAGCTCTTTGCAGGGCGAAGCGTCGTGCTTTGCAACAAGCCGTACGGGAAATAGCACGCCCTAACCTTAAAAGAACAAATGACAACAGAAATGAACGGATTAGTAAACACGACCAACACCCGTTGGCAGCGCACGCTTCGCAAAGCTTTAGTGATGCCAACAGCAAACAAACGGAAAACACTAGAGGTGGGACGATTGAGGAGCCAGAAGTGATCTGGCTTTTCTCGAGCAGAGTTCAGAAAGCGGGGGTAGCGTCAAACTGGTCACTAGGCGTGCTTGGTAGTCACGTAGTTATACAGAATACAGCAGCTTCAGACGCAAGTAGTGCACTTTATCACCCTTACAATAATTTCCTATTATCAGAAGACCTCACACAAGTTAACGAAACGTTACGTTCCTGACAATACAAGAACAGCTTTTCAGTGAGAGCGTGCACCCGTGGCAGAAAAATCAGAGTTCAGCCAGGAATTCCCATGTATGGACACCAAAACGTTCCTCAAATATTTATTGTTGAATTTTACGACGATTTTCATCCGTAGTCGGTTCCTTACCTGCCCGTGAGTGACACTGGTTTTCATTTACATTTCTTTTCTCCCCATTTATTTTTCTCCCCTCACTTCACATTACAGAAACACATGGATCCTGTAGGTCACGCCTGTACGGTAGCAGTCATTTCCTCGACATAGTATGAGTTGCAAGCGATATCATTTGTGTCTATTGCTTTGGAGCGGGCTCCCTGAACCCCTGTCATTCCTGCGCCATGCCTGAGGGTCAAGCTCACAGCCCGGCAGGTTTTTCCAGCCTAGGGCTCCCTAGCTGCATCCTGCAGACTGCCTCTCTGACCCGAGAGTTCCGCAGCATCACAGTCACCTACGGACTTGCAGTACCTTGGGTACTTCTGCTTTGCTCACGGGGCAGTTGGGGCTGGGGTGGGGGGAGAAGGGGGGGCTTTTGTTGAAGGTCACGAGCTGCCTCACGGACACAGCCGGTCCCAAACACGCCCTGTTGTGGGGAGCAGCACCCTCATCGCTAGTCCTTAAAGGAAGTCCCCGATGCTGAGTGCTCCACCCTCCAGTTCTAGCTGAGTGAAAACATCCTCCCTAACCTCTCCATCGCCCAGGTGCAGAGGTAACCCAGTTCTTGCCTCACCCCACAGCCCCGGCAGCGCAGGGCCTTGGGACAGCCAAGCCATGCCGGACAGGGCTCGCTCAGTCTCTACTCCCCCCACAAGGTGGGGGACACGAGGCGCAGCACGAGCTCCCCGTGCCCTCCCTCTGGCTTTGCCGCTCTCCATCCTCTCCCTTTCGGGAGAAGGGGTGCCCAGAGGCCAGTGCGTGGGGTGGGCACGCGCAGGTGCACACCAACGTCCCCGGGGCAGGGGAAGATGGCGACATCCTCAGGGCAGCAGGTCCCCCAGTCAAGTCGGGATCACCAGGCTCCCGCTTATAAGCGTAAGGAGCGGATGAAATCAAACGGTGCTCACCGGAATACCGCTGCCTCCTCCTTCGCCAAGAAGAGACTGGTCCGAGTCCCACCAGACTCCTGACTGGTACGGAGGCTTTTGCGCAGCTGTGCCCAGACAAGAGGAGGACGGGCACAGCGCTTGTTGAACCACCTTGGCTCCTCGCAGAGGAGAAGCTTTCTGCTAAAACGCCAGATGCTACGCTGCCCTATCCCGCTGACCCAGACCGGGATTCTCGCACTGCGAATCTGCCGCTGCGACACTACTGAGCCAAAACACCCATTTCCCTGAGCAGAGGAAATCTCGATTTCCCATCTTTATTGTAGGTGAGATGAGCGCTGCAGGAAGGTGTCAAATCAAGGGGCTTGGCTGTGTGTCGTACAACGGACCGGCCTCTGCTAGCTGGCGCCCTTCCCTAGACCTGTGCGAGCCACTGTACACCCCCCTGGGCCAAGGCAAGGGGCGAAGCAGTGGGAGAAGGAGAAGAACGTCTGCAGGTCACTGCGCCTAAAGCAGCCAGGAGGACGGACTCCGAGGCAGAGGGCAATGGTCACGCAGACCAGACCCACACATTTCATCTCGGGTGTCTTCGAAGTCTTGCACGGTTCCAGAGAGGCGCCCAGATCCAGGGAGATTTCTAGTAAGGGGGTCCGGTCCTTTGGCGCAGAGCTTTCCAACGCTTTTCGGACCACCTGGGAAGAGGACAGCCATGGGCAAGAGCCCTGCAGGTTTCCAAGGCTCTTGGCTATAGACGGTTCTGGATCTTCTCTGGTACAGACCAAAGGAACGTGGATTCTTCAAACTGTACTTCAAAAATCAACGTACAGCACTGAAAAAAAAGAGATGATAAAGCTAGATGCTAATCTTTACATCAGTTAGGTCACTCCATGCCTGAAGCTCATTTGCCTTGCAAATATTCTATTGTTACATGCTCGGTCCCTCCCTACTCACTTAAATGACTAACTCCACCCCAAAAAAAGAAGAACCTTTGCTGAAACTGCTGGAGGAGAGACGGATCCTGCCCCTAAAACCATGGGGCCTGTCAGCTACTCATCAGAGACCTATGACTTGGTGAGTCAGGCCCATCTTTGCTTGTTTGAGAGGATAATGGGGAGAGCAGGTAGCGCCGGGGTGGGCTGAAAGTCCTGGTTTCAATCTGTCCGTCTTCTCACCCTCCTGTAAGCAGAGGGAGAGCTTGAGCGATTTCTTACGCCCGCGCAATCAGCCCTCGCATCCCTTGAGTCCAGACTTGACCGATGAGGGGGCTGGAAGCCGACAGCGCTGCGCTTGCAGAGCGCCAGCGTGACGGGGCTGCAGCCGGTGTGAACCCAGTCCTCGCGCGGACGGGGACCAAGACCACAGTCGCTGCCGAGGGGCCAGGCGGCTCGCTGGGAGAGCCGGGCTGCTGCAGCCCTGTCCCACGCCGCCAGCCCGTCCCAATCTCCGCTCCCCGCTGTCCTGCTCTCTGCGCAGCCATTGACACAGCGTGGGTGTGAAACACTTGTGCTGAGTCGGGCGCCTTTTGCACCAGCCTTCGGTGGTATAAATGACTGCGCACAGCATGCAAAGCCCTGGACGTCTCAGCTAGTATTTTTACATAACAGGAATACCGAAGAAAACCCAATGCTATCATGCCGTCCCTCCGCGCAGGAAAACCCTTGGTACGACTATACCCGCTCCTACCCCTGCTTGCCTTCTCCACGAACAGGCTGCCGTAGACTCTGCTGAGAGGGGAATACGCTGTATATTTGCAGTAGGGGAATTTTAAAGAGGGGAAGATAAATCGCAAGTACTTCTTCTACCAGGGAGCGATGATGCTGTGTATTCTGCCCCGTAGTTCTCTCCCCTGCGTTTGCAAGTGGAAGACAGCAGCTGCACCTTTTCGAGTATCTTGTGCTATCCAAGGGGAAGTCCACGGCAGCGCTATCATTAGCCTGGTTTTCAAGCGTGGCAGCTCAGAATTTAGTTTTTAAAACAGCAGCTCTCTGCAGCAGACCCCAGTTCTTGTTTAGTTACTCTAAAGAGAGAAATCCTGGATTTAATTTTTACCAATTTTTCTGTCCCTCCTTTGCCCTATACACCAGGGAAGAGAGAGGAGATGTGGGGGGCAAGCCCCGCCCTCCGTATTTTTTCCGATTCATCCAGTATAAAAATTCTTTGCGAACGATGGTCGTTTCCTTTAGAGCTTTTCTGGAAAGGACGCTTCTCTCCCTGACCTCTGCTGAAGTTCAGTGGCAGCACCAATGCTTGCCGAGAGGCCAAAACCAAACCCAAACCTTTTTCATCCCCATGCTGGTTTGTTCCTCCGGCTGAACTCTCCATTGCAAATCTGTCCCACCACCAGAAAACCAGCAAAGTTGAAGCACGCTGGCCGCCTGCCCGCAGCGCGTCACACGCTGTAAGCAAGTGGCTGCTTGTGGCAAAACTGCATCGTTTTTAACGCAGGGGGATTAAGCAGCATTGGGATTTGTTCTTTGTCCGCAGTACTTTCCAGAACCTTAGCTTAGCAATTTGACCTCTGCCGTGAATCATTTTCAGTTGTAAAGGAGACCCCGTGTGAGGCGGGAGGAAACTCTGCTAACTTTGGGACCGAGCAGCCACAGTCAGGTGCCGCAGCAGGAACGGCCCGATGCCTTTTCTCAGACCTCCCGCAGGCAGGAGTTTGACACACGCATTTTCCACCTCTGCCCCTTGGGAGCTTCCCGGGTTTGGCTCCCTCCCTGGAACAGGCCACAGATCTCACACGAGCAACGTCACCTTTGCTTTGGTGGTGCCGTATGTCACTTCACTTACGCGCGGCTCTTGCTGCAGCCACCTACCCACAGAGATTTGTAAAAAAGACCTCAGCGGTGACCTGTCAAAGCGGCGACACAAACCTTGCCCTGTGCACTCACCAGAGAGGATCGCTTGACCGACTGAGCAAGCGTGGGCGGAAAAACGATGAGAACATTTGCACCGAAAGGGCATTTATCTCCGTATCGCCCGGCTTTGATGCCGTATGGCACCGCTCGTCTCTGTAACCCTGTGGAAAAGTCAGGTGCCCCAAACGACAACTCCTTTTCTCCATAGCAAGAAAGCTTTGCCCGTTTAACCTTCCTCAGCTGCAGACTAGAACAAAAACACAGCTGCAGAAAGACCACCAAGATCTCCACCAGGTCCCCGAGGTGCTGCAGGCCAGTTCTCACTGTAATGGGACCAGCGTGACTCAAGAGCTGCAAAGGCACCCGCGCTACAGTAACGTGGCCTTTCCACGGGCTTTGCTCTTATTTGTGGGTTTCCCTAGTTCAGGCACCCAGAGAGAGGTGAGCAGAAGCTCTGTCAGGAACTTGCAGTGATGCGGGCAATTTAATTTTTAAGGCTTTGGGAATGAAATGCACTTCCTCCCAGCCCTGGCATGGGCTAGAAGGGAATGACTCGCGTGGAAAATCCCTAACAGTGCAGAGGCTGCTTCTGTTCTGCAGCCAAATGTTTTGATCGCTGGCAGTTGTGGGGAACTGAGAAAAGCAGCTGACGCGCAGAGACCAGAATAACTCCGAGTCGTGGTGTAGAGGGGAAAAGGGATCCCTGGACAAAGAGCATACGGGGATGGACTTCCCAGGCACGCACTTGGCTGCTCAGTTACAGAAAAAGGCACTACTTGATTGCCCACCCCCAAATCTGGCTGCAGCTGTACGACAGAAGACCTGTACAACGGTCCCACTGCGCACTCGCTGTGGACTCCTCCCGTAACAGATCAGGCAGCCACCCGCTCCCAGTCCTAGAAATGGGAATCTCAGCAGAGTCCCCAGAAGCCCCAGCTGGTCACATTCAGCGCCTCTCCTGCACCTCTGGTCCCTGCCCAGACTCTGACCTTTCAGCCTCTTTTATCTGTCTCCAAGTCATCTCTGCCCGCTCCCACCCACACTCGCTGCTCTGCTCGGAGACGCACATGAGAGGACGCCTCAGACACAGCTCAGCGCACGCTTCCCCTGCCCGCGGCGAGTGGCTTCCAGTAAGAGCCCTACCTGCCATCTTATCAGCAATCAGATGGTGCCTGATAGTGGCACTCGGCCTCCGCACCCCTGGCTCCGAATGCAAGGCGATGCTGGAAACCGTTCGGCAGCCAAAGCTGTTCAACACCACGCGGGCTGCCCATCCGCCATCGACGGTGGCACTGGCACAGCTCCAGGCAGCGCTCCGACACCCCAGCCAGCAAACCCGGCCGTTTCCCATAATTTCCTTTTTCCCTTTAAAGCTGGAACCCCCCCGCCTCTCCCCAGTGAAGTTACCCATTCCTACACACGTTCTCTTTGGGGTTTTCAGCACAGTCACCCGCGTGTCCTGAGCAGCCTGGTTCGGTCGCCGTACCTAATTGCAAAGCTTTTGGGCTTGGTTTTAGGGGTTTTTTTGGGGGGGGACGGGGGAGATTCGAGGATCTGGCCCCGGCCAACACGTCGCAGGTTTCTGTGCATGTTGGTAACTCCTGACGCAGGGTCCAGGTACAGACTAGGCAGGAAACATTTTCAAGCCAGGGAGAAAACAAACTGGGAGGGATTTCTAAAGTCTTTTGTCTTTAGCAGCAATCTGCAGTCTCCAGGAACATACCCTTAACTGGGAAAATAATTGTCCTCTGGGAATACGACTGCTTCTCCCCAAAGGCTTGCAGCCCCACCGTTACACTAGGGGAAGACAGTTGCGTGCGTTTAAGGTTTTGGGCAGGGAATAGGACTCTCGACTCCCCCCCCGAGAGGAGTGGCTCTTGCCCATTCAGGAGGAAGCGCGGTGGCATCACAGCCCAGCAGCAGCACTGCGGGGTGCAGAGCCGGTGGGGAATGGGACCGTGGCAAGACCAAGAGTAACTTGGGCCAGACCAAAGTTGGTCAGGCTCGCAGCTCTTTTTGGAAGGAGCGCAGGGAAGAGGGCAAGAGCTGGGCAAGCTTATTCCACACTGTCCCCAAAGGCTCACTTGCCCTCCTACCGTCCACTGCTCGGGGTCCACCTGAGCCAGCTTCCTGCTTCGGTACATGTTTGGTAATGCTCCGTAGGCTTCTTCCCCATCGACACGCCTGGGGCTCCCCTCGGAGCCGTGCAGATGGCTTCAGCAGCACAGCAGTTTGGGACGAGCGCTGCCGCTGCGATGTCACCTCTTCGCCCCGGGCAGGCGCGTGGCCCGAGGAAGGCTCGCCTGAGAGAGAAGAAACGTAAATCACTCTTCTCTAGCTAGGTGCAATGCAGGACTCGGGGCTGGTCACAGTCGTTTGGCTTAGCAGCATGGGGGGGCGGGGGGGAGGGATGCAAAAACCCCCCAAATGCGCTCTAAAGCTGTTTGAAGCAGCGCTAGTATTTTTAGATGGGAACTTTGGCTGATGAGGGAAGGAGCAGCAGGTGCAAACGGCTACAGCTGGCAGTGAAAGGTATGAAAGCAGCGAGCAGAGACTTCCGCTGTGGTTGGCACTGAAGTCTCAGCGCCGGTCTCCAGAGAGGGTGTGGGTGGGGGAGCTCACGGTAACTGCTGCCGAGCTCTTCCCAGTTGTCACTAATTTCTCAGCTTGCCGCACGCCTCCTGCACCGCTCTCTTTTTCTGCCCGCCAGCATCCGAGCCCTTTGCTTTTGTGAACACCCAGCTCCTGCGAGGTGCCCGCGGCCGGCCGGAGCACGCCCCTGCCCAGGGGACTCGTCCCGAGCGCAGCTGCAGCTTTCCGGGACTTGCGCGCGGTCTCAGCCCGCATACGGGCTGCTCGCCTGGCAGGGAGCTACGGCAGGCGAGCACAAGTCGCGTCTGCGGCGGCTCAGTTGCACTTTCCTTACCGGGTATCAGTGCGGGGTCAGAGTGGCGTTTTCAGATTCCCTTTCCTGCTCTGGCTGCAGTAAATTCAGAAGCACAAGGTTTACCGACGGAGCAGATTTCTCTCTCCAGCATCCAGCCCCATAGCTATGGCACCGCAGTGCCTCGGAGGCGTTCCCCCAGTCGCGTTGGAACAGCTGCCCCACACCTTTCTCCCAGCGTGTGGGAAGCGATCCCAAGCACGGCTGCGGCTCTCCCCACCTCGCCTTGCTCTGCCCCAGGCAGCTCGGAGGTCTTCGAGGAGGAGGGGCAGAAGGGGACAGGATCAGCGCACGTAACTCAAGGTAGAGATGAGCTCTGCGGTGAATCCCACCACCTTTATACCCGACAGCAGGCAGGACAGGCACAGTGGGTGTCAGAAACAGGTGGAGAGATCAGGAAAGCTGGTAAAGGAGGGTTCCATGCCGCATGAGAAAGCAAAAACCACCAGCAGGTAACTCAACAAGAACCAGGAGATGAAACCGGTCATCCGTCTGGCCACCAGAACATCCCCAAAGATGCTAGTTGAGGATTACCGACGCAGCAGCCCTCGCTGTCGGAGATCAGGACAACGGTCTCCACATGCTGCCGCACCTCCTGGGACCTGGCGCCCGAGGGGCCTCCCGGGTCATCAGGCTGCAGACAGGCAGCACCTCCTGACGCAGGCGGGCCGTGGGATGCGGGGATGCTCCGCTCCCGGTCTGCCAGGCGCGGCTGAGGGACTGGGTGCTCATGTTCAGAAACTCCCCTCGGTAACCAGACTCTCTCTCTGTTCCCCAGAGCCAGGTGGAGCTGAGCGGTTACTACGAAGCCGAGAACACCACCCCGTCTTTGGAGGGCTACTTTTGCTTCAACCCTGCCTCGTCTGTGGTTGGCAACCAGAGAGACCCCTTCAGAAGGGTCTTCATGCCCCTCATCTATCTGCTGATGTTCGTGTTGGGGACTGTGGGCAACGCCCTGGTCCTAGTCATTTTAGAGAGGTTCAAGCGGTCTCGCACTACCACGGAAAACTTCCTCTTCCACCTCACCCTGGCCAACCTGGCACTGTTGCTCACCTTCCCCTTCAGCGTGGTGGAGAGCTTGGCTGGGTGGGTGTTTGGGAAGTTCCTCTGCAAGATCCTCAGCGCTGTCCACAAGATCAATTTCTACTGCAGCAGCATGCTGCTGGGGTGCATCGCAGTGGACCGCTACCTGGCCATCGTCTACGCAATCCACACCTACCGCAAACGCAGAGCTCGCTCCATCCACCTCACCTGCACGGCTGTCTGGCTCTGCTCGCTGCTTTTGACCTTGCCCGATCTCATCTTCATGGAAGTCTGGACAGATGACAGCAACCGCAGCATTTGCTATTTTCCAGAGGTCGGGATCGACGGCAACAATGTCTGGCTGGCGACCCGCTTCCTCTACCACACCGTGGGCTTCTTTGTGCCCCTGCTGGTCATGTGCTACTGCTACACGGCCATCGTCCGGGCTCTGTGTCAGTCCCAGCGCCTGCAGAGGCAAAAAGCTGTCCGCGTGGCCATCCTAGTCACAGGCGTCTTCCTGCTCTGCTGGAGCCCCTACCACATTGTCATCTTCCTGAACACACTGACCAAGCTAGAAGCCTTCACCAAGAACTGCCTCCTGGAAGACCAGCTGGACACGGCCATCATGGTGACAGAGGCCATTGGCTTCCCGCACTGCTGCCTCAACCCCATCCTCTACGCCTTCATCGGAGTCAAGTTCCGTAACGACTTCTTCCGGATCCTGCAGGAGCTGGGCTGCATAAGCCAGGAGACCCTGCAGGAGATCCTGGAGGTGACGAGGAAGGGCAGCGGGATCGAGTCTGACAACACCACCTCTATCTCCACCTTCTAGCTGGGAGAGGCTGCCTGCAGGGCAGAACCAGCCCGGGGCTTGCCTTCCCAGTGGCACACGTGCTGTGACCTCACTCCCAAGTTTCACAAGCATCCCCACCACTCTCTTCACTCCTCAGAAGACTGAGGTCCAGTAGCCACCAGACACCCAAATCCCACCAGATACCTTCCCTGGCTCCTTCTGGTTCTCACACCTGTAGAAATCCACCTGGCAGACGTTGGCGAACGCTGGCTGTCCGACAGTCACTCTGGCAGGGCCAGATGAACCTGAGCGGCTCGAACCCGTCGTTTCCACTCTCCCTCGAACAACCGACGGCAGGCATCCTGTGCACGGAGCCAGGCAGGAGACCGGGGTGCCGGGGCAAGGAAAAAACTGCAGCTAAGTCAATGTGGAGTTGTGTCAGCGAGCGAGGGCTGAGGACAAAAGCTAAGCAGGTCTCTGTTTTGCCAGCTCAGGTTGGTAGAGACGCGCCCGAAGGAAGCAGCAGGACTCAGTGGCCACGGCAGCTGGAAGGGGAGATGCAGATAGGACTGGCAGGGGATGCAGAGCTCACTCCAACAGCTTGGGCACGCGGTGCTGGACGGTCTCTGGCTGCAATATTCCTGCTCCTGCTGCGTGACATTCCCCTGGCCAGCCACAGCATGTTGATTTTCCCAACTTGGTTCGCACCAGGAGGTCCTGCCGTGGCCTCAAATATTTGACTGCTGCAGATTCCTTTCCTGACATCAGCTGCACCCTTTCCTGCTCACTTGATCCGTTTTACTGCTGTTAAGAGCTCCAGTCAGTGACTGCTGAACACCTGACTATGCAAAAGCTTTCCTTTGAAGAAGGCGGCTGTCTGGAGAGATGGCTTCTATCTTGTGACTGAGCGCAGGGGAGATGAACCACACGGCTTTGTGAGGCTCGAAGGTGTAACTTTTGCTTTTGCAGCTAGCTGTACGGCACTTTGTGGGTTCTGCAAGCAAGGAGGCCCATTGCCCAAGAGTAAGGAAAAGAGCTCATTTGGGTAATTTCTGTTCGTTTTGAGCGGGCAGAGCGGGAACGCAGCATTTTGCTTTGCACCGCGCTTTCCGATATTTTTGCTCCACCTGCATCTACGGGGCTTTTAGAGGTTTAGTGCATCCAGGTTTACGCAGGACAAACCTGGGAGCTGATCTTGCCCGGAGCCACGAGTATCCAGCACTGCTCTGGTCAGGGCTGCTCGATAACAACTCGGTCCAAAATAAGAGCGGCAGCTTTCACTGTCGTTAGTAATTGCACCGCAAGCTGGCACGCGGGGCAGCTCTGGCGGACTCGTGCAGCCTGCTGTTTTCTGTAGGGGTAACATCGCAGCGCGTACACAGCGTTGCTCCGTGACACGTCTCTTGCTAGCTAAGCAGCGCTGTGACCTGTACGAGAGTCTTACCTACCCACTGTCGCGTGAGCACGACCCTAATCACAAGCGCACTTTAAAGTCTGCTCTACCATTCACCTCGCTTTTTAAGTAAAGTCGGAACATCGTCGGTTCTCCTGCCGCAGCGCGAATTTTGTGCTAAACTCACTTCTGAAGCTCAACCACAACAACAAAGGGCTCAGCTGCAGCCAAACTTCGCTGTACCCAAGGGCCGCACTAAAAGACAGAAGGGGCCACGTCACGCCAGTCCAGCTCAGGTAGAGATCTTGGGACTCAAATTGTGACTCGAGGAGCAAAACTCCCCAAGCATAAGGCTTTTTACACAAAGCGCAGTCCACCATTTCCTCCACTGCTCATCTTCAAAGCTGAAACCTGCGAGTAATGGCGACCGTGGTTGTCCAAGTATGCATGCGCAGCGGAGGAAGAGCAGCTCTCTGAAGCCTGCCCTCGCCATCTCCACAGTTGTACCGTGAGCAAATCTGTTGCAGACGCGTTGTAAACGCCTCCCCAGCCCCGGTTCTGATGGGAACCGTGTTCCTGCACAAAAACGCTGCTGAAGAAATGAACAGTCAGAGCGTAAAATTCTTACGGTGTTCACAAGGTAAAAAGAAAATCTGCACGCAAAGTAAGTGCGAATAGATTACGCAACTACTGTTGCTGTAGTTTTTAGTACTGTTACGTTGGTAACTTTTAGAAAGTTTTGATGTGACCTGTAACAAACAGTTAAATAAAATACTGTCTTTTCACGTATAGCGCTTACAAGCAGCTGACTGCAGTCGTGTCGCTTTTGCAAGGGGAATGCATCAAAGAGCTTTAAAAGCGCCGACGGCACCTTTCTGACAAGCGTTGCTGTTCGCACATGGAGACCCCAGGGCTCGTAAGAGCACCTTGCTCAGATTTCCCTCTCCCAGTGCTTGCAGAAGGGTCTGCTGGGTTGGGAGTCAGTCCAGACCCGCGTTAGCTCCCTGCTTCACGGAGCCTCTTCCGCTGACTGCAGCACCTCCTGCCCCGGTTCTACAGCGGCTGCTAACCCGAGTGGAAAGCCGCCCCTGCGCCTGCACTTGGCTCAGCCAGCCTAGCGAAGGCTTGGCTTGGAGCTGGCAGACCCTTCCCCAAACAGCAGACGTCGCTCCCCCTGCAGCTGAATGCAA